TTCTGAGGAAATTATTTGAAATATTTGGATCATTTTATTCTCCTGAAGCAGGTTCCATTAGCATCTAGCATCAACAGAAACAAATAAAATGCTACTACATGAACTCCATTGGTTTTGCGAAAGAAATGCCAAATTTGTCAACCCCGTCAGATGTCACCATCATAAGATCTTGTGTTCCAGTGATATATCAAAATACTTCAATGTGACTCTTGAATAAAAGCGTTATAAACAATAACATACTCACTGTTTGTTGTGTTTGTTTTAATACAGTAATTGACTGATTCAATGTATTTGATAGTTAAAATGACTACAAATTCAGGTTTTCGTCACCTCCGTCAGTTGAATATTTTGATATTTCATTATGATATTTTATATTTATTGTGGAGTTGTTGGTCACATGTGAAAGTGTAATCTGTCTGCTAACACCAGAATGTGTTTTGAAATGTTAAAAACATCTTGAATGTTGTTAAAGATAAAGTTGAAATTATATTACACAGTCCAAGGTAAAAAAAAAAAAAGAAGTAATTTTGTTAAAAAAAAGAGAAAAGTTGGGAGTTTGTATCAAAGCATAGCTCAGTAGCTTAGTACATATAAGATACATAAATGTAGTTTCATTTGTCTGAGTACAAGGTTTTATTTTTTCAATTTTGCACCCTGTTTTGTCCCACTTCTCAAGAATGACTGTATAGGCCTTTATACGTTAGCGCGTGCGTACATGGTGTAAACATTTATCTTTACTACCCTCTAGCGGCTCAATCCTGAAACTACACCATTTAAACATAAACAGGTGGCTGTAAAAGTAACGCAGTGTATCTGTATATAGTGGCTGTAAAATCTATGGAAATAATAAATGTATGCACCGAGAGACTTTTAGATAGCTGAAAGTATGAGCTTTTGTATGTGTCTCTTCACAGATTTCATTTAACCTCTCTCCTCATAAGCGCCCACGGTGCCTGTCCACGGATGTCCAGCAGGGGGCGCCGTTCTTCATCAAATGGACGCCCACCTTCTGCGCAACCCGAGCGGAGGAGGGTTTGGTTTTACTGAGCGGAGCCGCAGCCGCTTGTCAGTTCAACTCTGAGATCTGCGGACACAGGAGATATCTCCGATCAGACCAGCTCGTATCCCGCAGCAGAGCAGTTCATACCCGTTGTTTTTTTTTCTTTTGGAGATAATACAGTAGTTAAAAATAGACAATCAAAGAAATCAGCAAAGTTAAATACTAAGAAGAGAAGGAAGAAGAATGGGGCAGAAAACGCCATTAATATTGATGACTTTATTGTCTTATTGCGTCTGGAGAGATGAGGTAGGATCCAGAAAGCGGATGATACATTTATTGTTCTTATTTTTATGCACTTGTTTCAGATTAACCTTGGGTAGGCTACCTCATTTTTTCCCTATAGGCTGTTTTCTATTATTATTATTATTATTAGGCCTAGTATTATTATTGCAGCCAATTTGAATAAATAAATAAATAAATAAAACCTGTGAACATACAAAAAACAATTCTGGGGTCAGATCTGATGCTTATGAGATTTATGATTGTTTGTCTGTATATTTGTGCGTTTGTGTACATGTGTGTGTGTGTGTGTGTGTGTGACTGAGAGAAAGAACCAATTGGGACCTTGGCCTGATAAATGGAAAGATGAATTAGCTGAACGTATTTATTTCGTAGGGTGGGGCACAGCTTTTTCATGACAAGGTTTGGATGTTTCTTAGTATAACAATTGATATCACTGAGCAATCTATTCGATTTTTTTAGTATGTAATATGTACTTGCATTGATGAGGAAATTGCTGTCTTTCATAGATGGTGGACTGCAGATGTCCGATATGCAACTTAATGAGTTGCCATGCATCTTAGATTGTAAAAGAATCTGTTTGATTTTACAATTTTACTTTCTGGTTTGCAACTGGACCGGCTGTTTGTCTGAGAAAATTCAATGTATAAGTAAAATGTGACATCATTGTTGAGTAGTCTTTCAGATCAAATAGTTTGAAGCTGGAGAACACAGATTGTTACAGCAGAGCAGACACGTTCTCAGCCCTGATGCTTGAATGATGTCTGGTGGGTTGTTGATTCAGTGCTATTAGATATGCTGCAGCCTCTGCGGCCTGCAGTGCTGACGAAGCCTGCTGTATACCTCAAGGCCCAAGATGATGTTACTCAGACATTTTATGCCTCCCACGCTTATTTGCTTTTTTCTGTTTTTATTGATTTATTTATTTTGCATAATGATCGAGAAATAATATTGGATGATGAAGCGTTTTTGAGGTTAGAAAGGGTTGATAATCCTTTCTGGAAAAAAAAGAATGTGGTAGATTTATATAAGCACTTTATATAATTTGATGCTAGATTTGACCACATTCAGATGTTGGGGAAATAAAGTGTTGCGCAGGAAGAGGATTGTGTCTGTCTGACAGGATATAAACACTGTAAATCCCTTTCAGTTCTTGTGAATGAATCAGGGTGCGATCAAGAGAACGCATATCTGTCAGTCCTTCACTGCATGCATCCAGGGATTTTTATTGCCACCATTTTTGGGAATAAAAAAATATTTTAGATTGCGACGTAGGTATCGTTTTAGAAAAAGCATAACAAGAACTTTTAGCATTTGTCTTCAGTCATGAGGAAACAAACAGCTGCATAGAGTTAAAGTTAACACAATTAACGCAAAATATTGTCTACACAAACTACATATATTATATATTCTATATATCCTTAATATATAGCACATTACATATATTTTTTACAATTGTGTGTTAACATTAATATGCTATGAGCTCACAAGAGATAATGAAAGAGTATATAAATAATACAATATAAACAATTTAAAATGTATAAATAAAAATGTAGATGTACTCTCTCTCTCTCTCTCTATATACAGTATATATATACACTGTAGAAAATGACCGTGAATTTAACAGTAAAAGACTGTAAAAATGCTACAGTAAAAACCTGTTAAATGGTTAACGGTAAATTCCCCTACTATATACGGTGAAAAACTGTATTGAACATTACATGTATTGGACATTAATTTTACAGTAGTATACCGTTTTTGGAAGTGAAAAAGACGGTATAATTTACAGTGAATAACCGTAAATTGACATGCCCAGAATTCCCTGCGTTGCATTTCAGATTTGATGTTTTTTTGTTGAAATAACTATGTTTCTTCTTAGTTTTTTCTTATCAGTTTTGTATATTAGGGTTGTGTGTTACACCTAATGTTGTTAAATTAATGTTTATTGCATTATTTCAGTTTCATGTGTGTTACCATGATGGTGTTTGGTGTTTGTGTGAATGAAACTGTGCACCTTTTATATATGTTATTATTTAAAAGCTGCTTGTGATGGGCTTTGGGTCATCGTGTGACTTTCTCATCACCTCCTGCATTTGGTTGTTATCAGTGTATTACAAAGGTACAAAACAGTAATATACTTCAATAGGTTGGTATATTAACATTATATCAGTTAATGAAATTACGGTATTTAACTGTAAATTTAAGTTAAAACCTAAAACGTTGCTACTGTATTTTTTACGGTAAAATTCCGGCAACCACAGCTGCCGGTGTTTTACCGTAAATTTTACGACATTTTTTTTACAGTGTATATATAAACCAAGATTAATAAATGCTGTAAAAAATATTCATAATTAATTCAACACATTCACTAAGTATGTTAACACAACCTTATTGTAAAAATCTACCTCAAAAAATCAATAAGAAAATACAGTTTTTCTTTACTCTGTTCATTTGTTCATTCAGTCATTCACACAGTCAATGACCAATAATCAATCAGCTCTGAAACTGCTCTGCTCTTAATATTAATCCTCTTTATGAAGTCGCATCCTGTCTCCCAGAATGCACTCAGTTTGATTGAGGTCAGTGGAATTAAATCTTAACCTAACCTATAATAAATCGACAAATGCCTTTACAAACTAAAAACTTGATAAAGACATGTGTGTTAGTATACTCATCTGTTTCTGAAGCATTTGAAACTAGTTTATAATATCGTCAATCTGTTTCTCGATAAGTAGCTTGCCTAGAAAACCTGGAAAAGCACATAGGCGGAGGAAGGGAGGGAGGGAGACCTGGCTGACTTCCACTGTCCCCTCTCCTGCTGTCTGAATGCGTCAGCACTCACCTCTAGCTGCTGGTCCACAGATGCTGCCTTCAAGCCTCATGGGAAATAGTTTTTAGGGTGTGTCTAGGAAACCCACTGTCACATGCAATGTGCAGTGACCCAGTGTGTCCGTACTGTCATGGTAAAGCAGGTTAGATAAGATAGGTTTGCGATATCTTTGGCACAGATATCAAAGTTCATCAGGGTCTATGAGGGGATACCCTTTCTTTGTCCGTGTTTATTGCAGCAGTGCCTTTAGCAATGTCTGTGCACTTATTATAAAATATTGAACAGAGAGGAAATATGATGACGTGTATGTGCAGACTACATACAGTAGAAGGGTTTTTCCTTCTGACCTTCATTTGTCTTCTTCAGATGTTTTCTATTAATCAAAGAAAAAGCACAACATCGATAATAATAAGAAACGTTTCTTGCCATCACAGAAGTAAATTACATTGAAAAAATATTCAAATATAATTTTTTTTTTAATTGTAATAATATTTGACAATATTACTGTTGTACTGTTTTTGTTCAAATAACAAGAGACTTCTTTCAAAAAAATGTAAAACATCTTACCAACCCCAAACTTTTCAATGGTAGAGTATATTTTAATAATTGTGTATTTGCTTTAAAATGGAAGCATAGATTATTTTATTTAATCAGAGGAACCATTTGGTTTAATTGTTTTGAACTGTCTTTATTGTTAAGAGCATTCAAAATGTTCAAAGCAAGAAAAAATACAGAAAAAAACTTTTCAAGGCATGGAAAGACAATATACAAAAAAACAATAATAATTTCTGTGGATGTGTACCAGCATAACAATATTTATGTAATAATCAGTATACTGTACATATATATTTTACTGAAACCTTTTAAAGGATGTAAAATGACACACTTGGGCTTCTGATAACATTTTAAAATTTTAGGATGCAAATGAATCGATTAATCTTTCTTTTTACTGATTAAAAATAGTGGACAGTTCGAAAGAACCAATTTAGGGAAAGGAACTTCCGAACTCTATTGGCATCTTTCCTGTTAAGTTTTAAAGTATATGAATATCACAGATCATATAATATAATAATTCATTATATATATTACCCAGGCCTCATTCATGACATTCCATTCCATTCATGACCAATTTCAGTGTAAATCATTTGTAAATCAACTATTCAATGTGATACGACAAATTCCCGAACTATATATTATGAATATAGTTTTATATATGGTGTAATTAACATAATTTAGTATACATTTCTCAATTTATGTAAAAAATTTTAATGACATATTAAAGAATAATTCATTTAAATAACTGTATATATTATATGTATTATATATATATATGTATTGTTCATTATAGTAAGTAAATATTTGTTTAAATAAATAAAGTATATTATTAAAATGATATTACATTTTTAAATATGAAATTATATACTTTATTTTTACTAGTGGTGAATATTATTTATTTGTTTTGTATACATTTTCTACTTTTACTGAATTATATTATTAAATAAATTTTTATAAATACAATTTTAAATATAATATAATTAACATAATTAAGTATGATTAATAATACAATTTATATTATTATACTTAAAAGTTACATATATAATATCACATGCTAATTATTAAATTGTATTATTAAATTATATCACATTTTTAAATATTAAACTATATACATTTTATTTATTTGTTAAAATTAATATTTTAATTATTACATTATATACATTCTTTATTATTATTATAATAAATATTATTTATATTTTTCTACTTTTATTGAAATCCTTATGTCAAATAAATTGTTAAATTGTGTACATTTTATGAAAATAATTTTACCAAGTAATATGATTTAGTATAATTAATAATATAATAATATAATGTATATAAATAATGTCTTAAAATTATGCGTAGGGTATTAAAGATTAATTTAAATAATTTAACATTTTAGTATAATTTATTATTGTATGTGTATTTATTTAAATGATTTGTTTGTTTATTTTATTGATCTCTTTCCATGCTTTTCAATGTTTCAGTTTTAGGAGTGACTTTGCAGATACAAAAAAATAAAGCCTGTTTTGCCCTTGTTAAGTAGCACCTGTGCTTCTCCGCTTAAGCAGCCGCCACTGCTCTACAGGATGTCCTTATGAAGTCATTGTTAGCAGTGGGTGGTGGATGGGTAAGACAGTGT